CTTAAAGTTGTGCATTACAGTGACTTTACCATGTTTTGTTTTTAAATTGTGGTAAAATCTACAATACCGCAATCACAAATTTCAGTGTTTTAATTGTTTTTCTGCCATAATTAAAAGTTATTAGTTAATACATTTAAAATTTTGTATTTTTAATAAACATTTGAGATTTTATGTGTTTTTTTATTTTAATTTAATTTGAATAATCAATTAAAATTATTTTTTTTATAAATAATTTTAATACATACATACGTTTTAATTTGTTTTAAATGATGCTATTTTTTTTTAGCTATAAAACAATCACAAATTGTGGTGCTGTATTTGTTTACCTGCTATAATAAAATTCATTAGTAAAATCAATAATACAATTTAGTTATTTATAAAGCTATTATTTAAATTATTATTAAAAAATGATATTTATTAGTTAAATTATTAATTACTTTCTTAATAATTGAACGTGTGTATTTTTACATGCTGCCACTTTATAAAATCAATACAGGTGCATTAAAGTGACTTTACCCTATTTTGTGTGGTAAACTCTACAATTGTATCAGAAATGCTGTTATTTTGTTTGTTTCGCTGCATGTCATGTGACCATTAGCTGACATCAGAGCTCGGTGAACATGTGGTTATAAAGGGATAGTTCACCCAAGAATGTGATGTTTATCTGCTCACCCGCAGGGCATCCAAGATGTAGGGTATACATCACTCATTGTTTACACAGTGCACAGTCATTGTAGGTACGATGGCTAATCAAAATGGTACTTACTTGTGCTTATCCGGATTGTTCAAACCGACTTAAAACTAAAAGATTACGTTCTCTCGCACGAACTCATTCAGGAGTCGTGACTTTCCACGTATTCCCAACTTCTGAACCTGCTCGCCGGAAGTTATGGTTGATTGCTCTTCGGCTGGATATCAACACACACCCATTAACGTAAACTACGCCAGAGCGCGTACACACCTCACGCACCGGATGCCGTGCGCGCGCCCAAAGACAGTTGGACATAGTGGTGTATTAGAGGTAAAAAATTATATAAATACTGTTCGGTTTCTGGCACAAACCGATCGTTTCGTGTCTTAGGACATCAATGTGTCGTCACGAGCCGCAGGGTTTAATTTGGATTTGTCTGTGCATGTTTTTTTTACTCTCATAGATTTTGTTACCATTGCCATGCATTATACGACTGACAGACTGCAACGGTTAAAGTTAAAAATCATCAAATGTGTTCTACTGAAGAAACAAAGTCACCTACATCTTGGATGCCCTGGGGGTAAGCAGATAAACATCACATTTCCATTTTTGGGTGAACTATCCCTTTAAATGAGGTAAATATGAAGTGAATGTTTGAGGGGTTTGTACCTGCTCATGTTCTCGCGGCGCGTGTTTGTTCCCTGCAGGTCTGATAGTGGAGTGCGTGGACTCCTCCGGCTGATGCTGGAATCTGACAGATGGAGAGGAACACAAACAACTGAGATCATTCATATAAACCAGACCAAACGAGACCAAACTAAAGCCGGTTTACACAAATATCCTGGAAGTCAAACAATAACCTCATCATTAACAGAACCATAACACAAACTCTTTATGATGATGTCAGATCGTTCTGATGGATTTTTGGCGAGATTATTTAGTCATTTTTATTGTTGAAGATTCATTTGCTGTGACGTTCCAAAAGTTTTTATTTTTATATTTTACGTTTTAATGTTTAAATTTATAGTTTAGTATTTTTTTTTTTTATATATATATATTTTACGTTTTCATTATAATTTCAAAGTTTTAGCAAATTTGTTGTGTTTTTGTACTTATTATTATTGAAATTTTTATATTTTCTGTTTTTATCATAATATCAGTTTAAGTTTTAGTAACTTCATTGTTTTACACAAAAAATGTTTTTTTATATTTTCTGTTTTCATTATAACGTCAAAGTTTTAGTAATTTTTGTTTTAATTTTTATGTTTACATTTTTTTTTACATTTTTTTATAGTTTCCATTTTAATGTTAGCCAAAGTTTTAGTCATTTTTGTTGTAATTTTTATGTTTACATTTTTTTTTTACTTTTTTTATAATTTCCATTTTAATGTTAGCCAAAGTTTTAGTAATTTTTATTAGTTTATAGATATAACTCTTTTAATAAATTAAGACATTATTTTGATAAATACATTGACAAATTAATATTTACTGAATTTATTAATTTTTTCATGCTGTAGTTTCATAAAGTCAATAAGCTACATTACAGTGTCTTTACCATGTTTGGTTTTTAACATTGTGGTAAAATTCACCATGAACGTGAACGTGTTATTACATTTTTAAATAATAACTTAAAATTTCAGCGGGACAACAAGAGTTTGGGAAATATATTTTATTATTTTATTTATTTATGTTATTTTAGAACATCAAGTTAATCAAGTTTTTTTTTTTTTGCAGTTAATATTTATTTTATTTCAAGTAACAAAATGTTTTGTCATCTTACTGTATTTGTCATCTTTGCATCGCTGCAGGATCTCAAGGCTCCGCTGGTGAACAGGATGATGCAGGAAACTGAAGCTGTCCACACTTTTCTGATTCTGAACCGGACCGTCAGAGCCTGGAGAGAGCGAGAGATGTAAATGTTCAGATGTTAAACCATTCTCTTTGTTGTCTTAATGCTTTGGCAATCAGCTGATCCAGAGCTTCAGTCCTGATGCTTCACTAACATCTACTGCTGCTCTGCATCACAGCATCAGAATCAGTCAGATTACTGCACAGATCAAACAGAGCTACATCACTCACTGGCAAACCCAAACACAACAGCAGAGTAAAGTGCAATGCTATCTGGCCCTAAAGAGAGAGTACAGTACGGCAGAGTATCTGTACACAGTGTCAGATAAGAAACTGAGAAGCACGTTGACCAGATACAGACTCAGCGGACACAAGCTGATGATAGAGACGGGCAGACACAGAAAAACATGGCTGCCACCGGAGCAGAGACTGTGTTCACACTGTGATCTGAATCAGATGGAGACAGAGCTGCACTTCCTAACAGAATGCCCCAAATACACAGATATACGGACAGTGTTCTACGATAAAATACAGCAGATCCATCAGACATTTCAAACTCTCTCAGACCAGGAGAAAGTGGCGTATCTGTTAGGAGAACAGAAGAACTGCTGTGTGTTTGCTGCTCAATATGTGTCTGCCTGTCACCACAGAAGAGAACACACTCAGCCTGCCCTGATCTGATGTTTCCAGCACAGCTACATTATATTACGCCTAATTACTCTATTATATTACTTAGATGTACAATCTCTTAAATTGAAATTGAGAGAGACAGAGAGAGAGAGACAGAGAGAGAGAGAGAGAGAGAGAGTGAGTAAGCGAGCGTCAGTCGTGAATGTGTCTCATGAATGTTTTAGTGTCGTCGTCTGCAGTTGTTGTTCTCGCTGGTCGAGGGATTCTGCAACAACAAACACTTTAATAAAACAACACAGCACATGTTCACAAACGCATGTGATAAACTATCACAACTGTGTCCGCGAACATCTGATCAGCAGCATATTCATATGCTATAGAAATAGCTGAGCTGCAAATAAAAAAAGTGTTTATTTATATGTTAAAATGCTTGCTTGTATGTTATAAATAAATAAGGTGCATGAAAATGTTTATCTATATTTTCATGTTTATTTTAGAAAGTAAATAATAAACAGTAAATACCTGTGGTTATATATTACTGTTTATTGTATATATATATATTTTAAAAATTAACAGGGAAACTGCCGCAAATAATGTAAAAAAAATTATGTATTAAAAATATATATATAAATTAAACAAATTGTATGTTTTTGTGTAAATTTACCTTTTTACATGTTACATTACACACTGAATTTTAAAAATGTTTTTAAATTTTTTTAATGTTTTTTATTATTATAAATGTATAGATACATTTTTATTTTTTATTATTTGTAATGTTTTTAATTATTTACAATTTATATAATTGTACTATTTATAAAAGTATTATTTTTATTATTATTATTAATAATAATAATCTTCTATTTTTATTGTCATTGCTTGCAAACAACATCAGGTAAAAATAAATTACATTAAAATGACATTTAATTAAAAACGAAGCATTGTGAATGAAATCACAGGGATGCTAAGCGTGTCAGCATCTAAAACGCATTGTTTCCAGTCTGCTGTTCTTCTGTCTCCATGCATGCATATTTTAACGTCACGAGAGCGTTTGCATCGTCTCCATGGCGATAAATAATAGAGATGTTGCATCATGGGTAGTTAATTCTTGTGCATGTGATTGTGAGAAACGTTTGTGAGTGTTTGAGTCTCACAGCTGCATGACAGGATCTGGTTTGTAATGACACTGTTTCTCACCGCTCGTCGTCGTCGTCTTCTCCTTGTGCCGTTTCCCGGCTTCTCTGAAGGCGACGAGCGCTCGGAAATAGGCGCGGACCACGGCCCAGCGGAAGGTGGCCACCGGATCGATTCCCATCAGGCCGCAGATGAAAGCATTTCGGCTGCTCTTCAGCAGAGCCACGATATCCGGACGCATGTGATCCGTGTTCTTCTCCCTGAAGTCCTGCAGACACAACAGACATGTCATAGACAGCACATGCATGCATACTTTATATATACAGTGCCCCCCACTGATATGGGCACCCTTGGTAAATATGAGCAAAGGCGGCTGAGAGAATAAATCTGCATTGCTTATCTTTTTGATCTTTCATTCAAAAAAATTCACAAAATTCTAAACTTTCATTGAAGTAAAACAATTGAAAGCGGGGGGAAACTCACATTACGAAATAAAGGTTTTTCTCCGATGCATGTTGGCTACCATTATTGGCACCCCTAGACATTCTTATGAGTAAAATATCTCTGAAGTATATTCATTCATATTTACATTTTGTAGCACACCAGGGTGACTGAAGTTATTTATTTTCACAGCCACCTTTGCTCATATTTACCAAGGGTGCCAATATTAGTGGGCGGCACTGTATAAAAGTAGTATGCTATTTCAAACCAGGGTTAGCTTTTTGTCACTAGAAATAAAATAAAATATAAGCTTAAACATTTTATTTCAGTTAGTTGACTACGTACACTAGGGACTAGGTAGAGTTGCCACATTTGTCCTTTTCATTTTGTTTAACTTGAAATAAAAATGAATAAAATGATATACACATTTATCAAAAAAAGACGAAAGCACAACAGTAATAAAACTTTAACTACAGTTAAAATGAAAACAGAAAATATAAAAATAAAATCTAATTCATAATATTAACAAAAACTATAATAGTATTTGACTAAAATAACACTATTTTAAACTAAGCAACATTTGCCATTTTCATTTGTTTAACTTGATGCAATAAAATCACTAAAACTGAAATAAAACATAATAAAATATAACAATAATAATAAAATGAAACAAAAATAAATATACTGAAAAAATACTACTAAAACTTACAAAAGCTCACGACAAAATAACTAAAAACGTCAGATAAAATTAAAACAGAAAATCTAAAAATGAAAACTAATTAAAAATATCATTAAAAACTGCAATACTATCTCAAGGATACGGTCACGGTTGCCTTCTGGGACAAGACGAAGAACGAGGAAACGAGGATAGACTCAAAACTACAGTCTTACAGAAGCAGTTCCGGGAGCATGACGTATGAGTTCAGCGTTGCGCATGCACCGGTGAGTCTCGTGAAAACCAACGTTTGTTAACAGGAGCAAAGGAAGCAAAGTTTCCTTACTTTAGCAAAGGAAAACCAGTCTCCTCTTGGCTTATATCAAAATCCTCTGACATGCTTCTTTACAAATCCTCGTTTTGTACTTCTAATTAGTGACCATGTTTTGTTCTGATCTCTCCGCTGCGCTTCCGTGTTCGTCACTTTTGAGCGGCGCATGCGCAAAGCCGACCTCATTCGTCATCTGCCCGGAGCTGCTTCCAGTGTACAACAGTGAGCGCAAGCTAGATTCAAGTGATTATTACGTTTTGAATATGGATATTTTTCTTACAAAAACGCATCGATTCGCTACAGGAGGCCTTTGTTCACCCCCCGGAGCCGTGTGAGATGTTTTTTTTAATGGATAGGCACTTTTTATTTCACTTCTTTTGGACTGATGCATGCATCACCCGCTGAGTGGCATTAAACAGCTTGAAAGATCAAAGACTATTTTTAATATAACTCCGACTGGATTCGTCTGAAAGAAGAAAGTCATATACACCTAGGATGGCTCTGGGGTGAGTAAAACACAGCCTAATTTTCATTTTTGGGTGAACTAACCTTTTAAGTACATGGGGTAATTGACAAGACACACCTGGGAGCAATCAACAATCAAACACATGGGAAAACCAAATGAACATAACGAACTATAATGAGGACAGGAACATAACCAAATAAGGGCATACAGAAACAGGAGGCAGGAACAGAGGGAAAACAAAACAAAAACAGACCATAAACGTGACATTACTCCCCCTCCCGAAAGGCGCGTCCCGCGCTGTAACAATTCAACCGGGGAGGGGGGGTGGGCGCCCTGGAGGCTGGTGCAAGACGGGGACAAGGAAGGCCTCCAGGGCGGATCAGGCAGTTCGAGTAACAGGCTCTAAGGCCCTCTTCGAGGCCAAAACCGGGGACTGGAGCCCTCCCTGGGCTTAACTGGGGAACCGGGAGCCCACACTGGAGCGAGCTCTGGGGCTGGAGCCGACACTGGAGCGAGAGCCCACAATCTCCTCCTCCGCAATCTCCTGTCTTTGATCTTTCAAGCTGTTTAATGGCACTCAGCTGGTGTTGCATGCATCAGTCCAAAAGAAGTTAAATAAAAAGCACCCATCCATTAAAACAAAAGTGTCTCACACGGCTCCAGGGGGTGAACAAAGGCCTCCTGTAGCGAATCGATGCGTTTTTGTAAGAAAAATATCCATATTCAAAACGTAATAATCACTATAATGTAGCTTGCGCTCACTGTTGTACACGGAAGCAGCTCCGGGCGGATGACGTATGAGTTCAGTGCTGCGCATGCCAACGTTTGTTAACAGGAGCAAAGGAAGCAAAGTTTCCTTACTTTAGCAAAGGAAAACCAGTCTCCTCTTGGCTTATATCAAAATCCTCTGACATGCTTCTTTACAAATCCTCGTTTTGTACTTCTAATTAGTGACCATGTTTTGTTCTGATCTCTCCGCTGCGCTTCCGTGTTCGTCACTTTTGAGCGGCGCATGCGCAAAGCCGACCTCATTCGTCATCTGCCCGGAGCTGCTTCCAGTGTACAACAGTGAGCGCAAGCTAGATTCAAGTGATTATTACGTTTTGAATATGGATATTTTTCTTACAAAAACGCATCGATTCGCTACAGGAGGCCTTTGTTCACCCCCCGGAGCCGTGTGAGATGTTTTTTTTAATGGATAGGCACTTTTTATTTCACTTCTTTTGGACTGATGCATGCATCACCCGCTGAGTGGCATTAAACAGCTTGAAAGATCAAAGACTATTTTTAATATAACTCCGACTGGATTCGTCTGAAAGAAGAAAGTCATATACACCTAGGATGGCTCTGGGGTGAGTAAAACACAGCCTAATTTTCATTTTTGGGTGAACTAACCTTTTAAGTACATGGGGTAATTGACAAGACACACCTGGGAGCAATCAACAATCAAACACATGGGAAAACCAAATGAACATAACGAACTATAATGAGGACAGGAACATAACCAAATAAGGGCATACAGAAACAGGAGGCAGGAACAGAGGGAAAACAAAACAAAAACAGACCATAAACGTGACATTACTCCCCCTCCCGAAAGGCGCGTCCCGCGCTGTAACAATTCAACCGGGGAGGGGGGGTGGGCGCCCTGGAGGCTGGTGCAAGACGGGGACAAGGAAGGCCTCCAGGGCGGATCAGGCAGTTCGAGTAACAGGCTCTAAGGCCCTCTTCGAGGCCAAAACCGGGGACTGGAGCCCTCCCTGGGCTTAACTGGGGAACCGGGAGCCCACACTGGAGCGAGCTCTGGGGCTGGAGCCGACACTGGAGCGAGAGCCCACAATCTCCTCCTCCGCAATCTCCTCTTTTGGGCAGAGGAGAGGGAGATGATCGTCGGGCTTGACAGCGGAAAGGCCGGTGAACTTGAGAGCTGAACGGCCGGCGGCTTGTGTGAGCCGCAGCCGGCGGGCTTGACATTGGAGCGGCTGGCGAATTTGAGTGAGCAGCGGCCAGCAGGCTTGTGTGAGCCACAGTCGGCAGGCTTGACAATGCCGCGAAGCGTGCGGCGGTTTCCATGCCGCGGGGGTAAAACAGGACAACAAAAGAAAACATTTTCAAAAAACTGAAAACAAAACGGGGAGAAGGAGCGCTGCTTACTATTGTAGTGGGTCCGGTATTTTGTCACGGTTGCCTTCTGGGACAAGACGAAGAACGAGGAAACGAGGATAGACTCAAAACTACAGTCTTTAATAAACAATCCAAAAGGGAAACACAAGGCAGGGCGAGACTCACATGAAGCACAACTTCGACGTATAATACCAGACCAACTCAGATAACACCGACAGGAACTTAAGTACATGGGGTAATTGACAAGACACACCTGGGAGCAATCAATAATCAAACACACGGGAAAACCAAATGAACAAACTATAAACTCAGATAACACCGACAGGAACTTAAGTACATGGGGTAATTGACAAGACACACCTGGGAGCAATCAATAATCAAACACACGGGAAAACCAAATGAACAAACTATAATGAGGACAGGAACATAACCAAATAAGGGCATACAGAAACAGGAGGCAGGAACAGAGGGAAAACGAAACAAAAACAGACCATAAACGTGACCGATACTAAAATAACCAGGGTTATTACAGTTAAAACAAAAACATTGTTAACAGGAGCAAAGGAAGCAAAGTTTCCTTACTTTAGCAAAGGAAAACCAGTCTCCTCTTGGCTTATATCAAAATCCTCTGACATGCTTCTTTACAAATCCTCGTTTTGTACTTCTAATTAGTGACCATGTTTTGTTCTGATCTCTCCGCTGCGCTTCCGTGTTCGTCACTTTTGAGCGGCGCATGCGCAAAGCCGACCTCATTCGTCATCTGCCCGGAGCTGCTTCCAGTGTACAACAGTGAGCGCAAGCTAGATTCAAGTGATTATTACGTTTTGAATATGGATATTTTTCTTACAAAAACGCATCGATTCGCTACAGGAGGCCTTTGTTCACCCCCCGGAGCCGTGTGAGATGTTTTTTTTAATGGATAGGCACTTTTTATTTCACTTCTTTTGGACTGATGCATGCATCACCCGCTGAGTGGCATTAAACAGCTTGAAAGATCAAAGACTATTTTTAATATAACTCCGACTGGATTCGTCTGAAAGAAGAAAGTCATATACACCTAGGATGGCTCTGGGGTGAGTAAAACACAGCCTAATTTTCATTTTTGGGTGAACTAACCTTTTAAGTACATGGGGTAATTGACAAGACACACCTGGGAGCAATCAACAATCAAACACATGGGAAAACCAAATGAACATAACGAACTATAATGAGGACAGGAACATAACCAAATAAGGGCATACAGAAACAGGAGGCAGGAACAGAGGGAAAACAAAACAAAAACAGACCATAAACGTGACATTACTCCCCCTCCCGAAAGGCGCGTCCCGCGCTGTAACAATTCAACCGGGGAGGGGGGGTGGGCGCCCTGGAGGCTGGTGCAAGACGGGGACAAGGAAGGCCTCCAGGGCGGATCAGGCAGTTCGAGTAACAGGCTCTAAGGCCCTCTTCGAGGCCAAAACCGGGGACTGGAGCCCTCCCTGGGCTTAACTGGGGAACCGGGAGCCCACACTGGAGCGAGCTCTGGGGCTGGAGCCGACACTGGAGCGAGAGCCCACAATCTCCTCCTCCGCAATCTCCTCTTTTGGGCAGAGGAGAGGGAGATGATCGTCGGGCTTGACAGCGGAAAGGCCGGTGAACTTGAGAGCTGAACGGCCGGCGGCTTGTGTGAGCCGCAGCCGGCGGGCTTGACATTGGAGCGGCTGGCGAATTTGAGTGAGCAGCGGCCAGCAGGCTTGTGTGAGCCACAGTCGGCAGGCTTGACAATGCCGCGAAGCGTGCGGCGGTTTCCATGCCGCGGGGGTAAAACAGGACAACAAAAGAAAACATTTTCAAAAAACTGAAAACAAAACGGGGAGAAGGAGCGCTGCTTACTATTGTAGTGGGTCCGGTATTTTGTCACGGTTGCCTTCTGGGACAAGACGAAGAACGAGGAAACGAGGATAGACTCAAAACTACAGTCTTTAATAAACAATCCAAAAGGGAAACACAAGGCAGGGCGAGACTCACATGAAGCACAACTTCGACGTATAATACCAGACCAACTCAGATAACACCGACAGGAACTTAAGTACATGGGGTAATTGACAAGACACACCTGGGAGCAATCAATAATCAAACACACGGGAAAACCAAATGAACAAACTATAATGAGGACAGGAACATAACCAAATAAGGGCATACAGAAACAGGAGGCAGGAACAGAGGGAAAACGAAACAAAAACAGACCATAAACGTGACCGATACTAAAATAACCAGGGTTATTACAGTTAAAACAAAAACAATAAAAAAAGCATTTTATTAATTGAAATATAATAAATAAAAATAAATAAATAACTGAGAAAAAAAATCAGCTAGTTGAATTAAAGTTACACATTATATGTATTATATAATGTAATTATATATATATATATATATATACATATATACAGTATATAAAAAATCCCATCAAAATTACTAAAAATGTCAAATTCAAATGAAAACGGAAAATATAAAAATAAAAATAATAATAATAGTATATGAACGGTACTAAAATAGCACGGATTCAAGCAGATTGAGAATGAAGGGCAGTAATGTGAGCTGATGGTGATGTGAAGCAGCTGTTCTCATAGTCGACACTGATACTGTCACATCTGCTCCAAACACAGCTCGAATAAACACAGAGACGACAACAGCTTTACGTGTGTGTGTGTGAGTGTGTGAGAGAGTGTGAGTGTGTGTGTGTGAGTGTGTGAGAGAGAGAGAGTGTGTGTGTGTGTGTGTGTGAGTGTGTGAGAGAGAGAGAGTGTGAGTGTGTGTGTGTGAGTGTGTGTGAGAGAGAGAGAGTGTGTGTGTATGTGTGTGTAGCGTGCAGATTTAACCCTCTCTGCCAAACATGTGCTCCAGATACACCCGATCCAACCAATCAGATCAAAGCACAGAATTAGGTCACTGTGTGTGTGTGTAACATATGCAAATGCTCACTCAATCACACACACTTAAGCACTGAAGCAGCAGAGCTGGGGTCTGCAAGTTTCTCACCTTGACGCTGTATTTGACTTTCCCGGCGTAGTGTCGGATGATGAACGCCGGCTCCATGACGGCTGGGAACTCGATGTAGCCGTTTCCCTCGTGCTGCCGCTTAAACTTATCCAGCAGAGTCTGATTAGACGCCTGCGGAAAACTGCAAGCCAACCACAACAACATTCACATTCACACCTGATCAAACACTCCAGTCTGCAATAATTCATCACTGTTTTATGATAGAAATGCTACTAAACAGAAGCAGAGTTCAAACAATAATGTATCTATTAACACTCTATTGCTCATTATGAAAACAATGTTAACATTTTCTTGTATAAATGTAACTTCTTTACTAAAATCAAAAACTAATTTAGAAAATAAATATTTGATATTTATTTATAATAATATTTTCAGGCTTTTATCCTTTCAGTCAGGTATAGTTAACTGAAACTTAAACCAAAAACATAAAAAAAAACATTTTTGTTACTTGAAATAAAATAAACTGAAATAAAATATATAATAAATTGAAACGTTCAGCTAGTTGCCAATGCAATTTTTACTTTATTTAAACCTGAAGTACTAAAATAACTAAAACTGAAATAAAAATGTATGTATATATTACAAATAAATATCATATATTCATTTTCAAATTTTGATTAGTAAATATACTAATTGCAAATGTGCAAATATACAAATGATTGCAATATTTAATCAGTAAAGTAGTTCATTTTCATACAAGAAAAGTCAAGGTTATATTTTCATAATATGAGCATAAAGTAAAAACTAATAAATTAAAAAAATTAAAATAAAACTTTTTTTTTTTACATAATATCTAAATTTTTTTAAGAAATAAAAAACTATAAAATGATTGAAAAAAATAAATACACAAGAAAATGACTAAAATGTAAATTAAATTGAAAATGTATAAAAATATAAAAATAAAAGTGAATTTAAAATAAAATAAAAAACTAAAAAATAATATGTGTGTGTGTGTTTATGTATGTATGTATGTGTATATATAGCAAAAACAGTAACATTACTACAACTTGGACTAAAATGGAAAATATGTATAAAAAAACCTAATTCAAAATATCAATACAAACTATACCATCATCTTAATTACACAAAAATAAATCTGATTTTAATATTTGTGGTGACTTATCCAGTTTTCTGATGTTATAACAATATAACAAACAACAAAGATAATGATATTAAAGAATTAAATAAACATTAATGTGAATAAATCCAATGGAACCGGCTTCTAGCTTAATATTTACTAAACATTTCTGTGAAACCCAAAGCAAGAACACTTCAGTAATGGAAGACACATAATATCTGAAAGCTGCGTGATAACTGACTGGGCAGCACTCGGTCAGATGCGGCTGAGCGGAGACCAGACTCACTTGCACTCCTCGTCCAGCAGGTGCAGCAGCGCGGTGGGTTTCTTGCTGATGAGGTTGATGCAGGCCGTGTTGTCGATGTAGTCGATCATGTGCCAGCTGATGCCCTCCGAGCGATACTCCTCCTGACAGACCAAACACACACCGCAAACCTTCTGTGTTACTGCACACATACCCTGCAGCTCGAAGGCTTTCAAAGGTCTGAATATGAAAACAATATTAAATATAATAATGCTTTTATTTAATCCTGTATCATATACACTAACAACATTACTAACCTCCAAGTTTAGGTCTTTTAATATTTTTTTTATTATTTCTGCAGCAGTTAGAATAGTTTCATACTAACAACAATAGTTATTATTATTTTAATAGTGCCTTCCAAACATAAATTGTAACTCGAAGTGTTTCAGAAAATAAATACAATAAAAACAACAACAGCAACAATAATCATAATCATCATAAGAATAATAATGTATATAATAACAATACGTTTATAATGTATAAAATGAACAACTTTACTAAAATTCATATAACTGATGCCTGATATTTATTAATAATATTATATATATATAATTTACATAATTTTAATAATATAGTATTTCTTTTTAAATGTGTCTATATAGTTTTTTATGATCATATTATGAAAATGTAAAAAAAACAATTTCTTGTATAAAATGAACTTCACTAAAATCAAAAACAATTTTTGAAAACGAATATTTGATATGTATTTATAATAACCTTTTCAGGCTTTAATCCTTTAAATCAGGGTTATTATAGTTAACGGAAACTAAAACCATAAAAAAATGTTACTTGAAATAAAATAAAAATGTAAAAAACAATTTGACTGAAATAAAATACATAATAAATGTAAACCATTTCAGCTAGTTGCCAACGCAACGTTTCCGTTCATTTTAAGCTTTAAATGTCTATATAGTTTATGCTTATATTTTGAAAGTGTAAAAGATCTTTCCATTTTCTTGTATAAAATGAACTTATTTACTAAAATAAAAAATATATTTTTTATTATTTAACTAAATGAAAATAAGAAGTGTCGCCTTGGCAACTAGCTGAAATAAAATTGTTACTTTTTAAATATTTTATATCGTTTCAGTTATCATTTATTTTATTTAAATTAACAAAATGTTTTTAATGGGTTTAATCAGTTTTAATGAACTATAATAACCCTGGAGTTGTTCACAGAAAAACATCACATTTATTCCTCGAATTATCCCTTTAAATAAGCACAGTATTCACATTAAACGCATAAAAGATCAAGATTTAAACACACTTCAGGTTAGTCTATATTCTAAGACTCCAGTGTGGAATCGGTAATGAAATGTGATCATGTGAGCGCAGAACAGGACGAGTAAACGACGGCGCTCATGTGATCAGATCCAGAGATCTGTTACCTGCTCCAGCTTGAAGACGTGCTGGTTGAAGTAATGCTGTAGCGTCTCGTTGGCGAAGTTGATGCAGAACTGCTCGAAGCTGTTGTTCTCGTAGTCCTCAAAGCCGAAGATGTCCAGCACACCGATGGACAGGATCTGAAACACACACACATCTCACATCAGGTCAATGTGAAACTGAGCGCTGATGCATGACTTCACCACGTCATCATGACTGTCGGAGCTGATCGCTTTATTGATGAGGCAGCTCAGAGACATTGATGAACAATCAGTCACTGAAGTCAGCTAGACAGAACCTGCCAATAATGGGAGGAAATGTGTGTACTAGGATTATTACAAATATAATACACACACCTTTCACACAGCATAATCGTAAAATGTGTGCGTTTTTGAGAAAGTTTCTGCTTTTGCATGAGGTTCTGTGTTTTTGTGTGAGTTTGAGATTGTGTGCACTTGTGCGATTTTGTGTGTGCGAGTGTTTGTGAGTTAGTGTGTTTTTGCGAGTTTGTGTGAGTGTTTGTGAGTTTGTGTGAATTTATGTAAGTGTTTACGAGTTTGTGTGAGTGTTTGCGAGTTTGTGTGAGTGTTTGCGAGTTTGTGTGAGTGTTTGCGAGTTTGTGTGAGTGTTTGCGAGTTTGTGTGAGTGTTTGCGAGTTTGTGTGAGTGTTTGCGAGTTTGTGTGAGTGTTTGCGAGTTTGTGTGAGTGTTTGCGAGTTTGTGTGAGTGTTTGCGAGTTTGTGTGAGTGTTTGCGAGTTTGTGTGAGTGTTTGCGAGTTTGTGTGAGTGTTTGCGAGTTTGTGTGAGTGTTTGCGAGTTTGTGTGAGTGTTTGCGAGTTTGTGTGAGTGTTTGCGAGTTTGTGTGAGTGTTTGCGAGTTTGTGTGAGTGTTTGCGAGTTTGTGTGAGTGTTTGCGAGTTTGTGTGAGTGTTTGCGAGTTTGTGTGAGTGTTTGCGAGTTTGTGTGAGTGTTTGCGAGTTTGTGTGAGTGTTTGCGAGTTTGTGTGAGTGTTTGCGAGTTTGTGTGAGTGTTTGCGAGTTTGTGTGAGTGTTTGCGAGTTTGTGTGAGTGTTTGCGAGTTTGTGTGAGTGTTTGCGAGTTTGTGTGAGTGTTTGCGAGTTTGTGTGAGTGTTTGCGAGTTTGTGTGAGTGTTTGCGAGTTTGTGTGAGTGTTTGCGAGTTTGTGTGAGTGTTTGCGAGTTTGTGTGAGTGTTTGCGAGTTTGTGTGAGTGTTTGCGAGTTTGTGTGAGTGTTTGCGAGTTTGTGTGAGTGTTTGCGAGTTTGTGTGAGTGTTTGCGAGTTTGTGTGAGTGTTTGCGAGTTTGTGTGAGTGTTTGCGAGTTTGTGTGAGTGTTTGCGAGTTTGTGTGAGTGTTTGCGAGTTTGTGTGAGTGTTTGCGAGTTTGTGTGAGTGTTTGCGAGTTTGTGTGAGTGTTTGCGAGTTTGTGTGAGTGTTTGCGAGTTTGTGTGAGTGTTTGCGAGTTTGTGTGAGTGTTTGCGAGTTTGTGTGAGTGTTTGCGAGTTTGTGTGAGTGTTTGCGAGTTTGTGTGAGTGTTTGCGAGTTTGTGTGAGTGTTTGCGAGTTTGTGTGAGTGTTTGCGAGTTTGTGTGAGTGTTTGCGAGTTTGTGTGAGTGTTTGCGAGTTTGTGTGAGTGTTTGCGAGTTTGTGTGAGTGTTTGCGAGTTTGTGTGAGTGTTTGCGAGTTTGTGTGAGTGTTTGCGAGTTTGTGTGAGTGTTTGCGAGTTTGTGTGAGTGTTTGCGAGTTTGTGTGAGTGTTTGCGAGTTTGTGTGAGTGTTTGCGAGTTTGTGTGAGTGTTTGCGAGTTTGTGTGAGTGTTTGCGAGTTTGTGTGAGTGTTTGCGAGTTTGTGTGAGTGTTTGCGAGTTTGTGTGAGTGTTTGCGAGTTTGTGTGAGTGTTTGCGAGTTTGTGTGAGTGTTTGCGAGTTTGTGTGAGTGTTTGCGAGTTTGTGTGAGTGTTTGCGAGTTTGTGTGAGTGTTTGCGAGTTTGTGTGAGTGTTTGCGAGTTTGTGTGAGTGTTTGCGAGTTTGTGTGAGTGTTTGCGAGTTTGTGTGAGTGTTTGCGAGTTTGTGTGAGTGTTTGCGAGTTTGTGTGAGTGTTTGCGAGTTTGTGTGAGTGTTTGCGAGTTTGTGTGAGTGTTTGCGAGTTTGTGTGAGTGTTTGCGAGTTTGTGTGAGTGTTTGCGAGTTTGTGTGAGTGTTTGCGAGTTTGTGTGAGTGTTTGCGAGTTTGTGTGAGTGTTTGCGAGTTTGTGTGAGTGTTTGCGAGTTTGTGTGAGTGTTTGCGAGTTTGTGTGAGTGTTTGCGAGTTTGTGTGAGTGTTTGCGAGTTTGTGTGAGTGTTTGCGAGTTTGTGTGAGTGTTTGCGAGTTTGTGTGAGTGTTTGCGAGTTTGTGTGAGTGTTTGCGAGTTTGTGTGAGTGTTTGCGAGTTTGTGTGAGTGTTTGCGAGTTTGTGTGAGTGTTTGCGAGTTTGTGTGAGTGTTTGCGAGTTTGTGTGAGTGTTTGCGAGTTTGTGTGAGTGTTTGCGAGTTTGTGTGAGTGTTTGCGAGTTTGTGTGAGTGTTTGCGAGTTTGTGTGAGTGTTTGCGAGTTTGTGTGAGTGTTTGCGAGTTTGTGTGAGTGTTTGCGAGTTTGTGTGAGTGTTTGCGAGTTTGTGTGAGTGTTTGCGAGTTTGTGTGAGTGTTTGCGAGTTTGTGTGAGTGTTTGCGAGTTTGTGTGAGTGTTTGTGAGTTTTTGTGAGTTTGTGTGAGTGTTTGTGAGTTTGTGTGAATTTATGTAAGTGTTTGTGAGTTTGTGTTTTTGCGAGTTTGTGTGAGTGTTTGTGAGTTTGTGTTTTTGCGAGTTTGTGTGAGTGTTTGCGAGTTTGTGTTTTTGTGAGTTTGTGTGAGTGTTTGTGAGTTTGTGTGAGTGTTTGTGAGTTTGTGTGAGTGTATGTGAGTTTTTGTTTGTGCGAGTACTTGTGTGTTTTTGTGTGTTTGTTTGTGTGAGTGTTTGTTTGTGTGTGTGTGTGTGTTTGAATGTTTTTGAATGTGTTTGTGTTTGTATGTGTGTGCGTGTCTGTGTGTGCGCGTGTTTGAATGTGTGTGTGTGTGTTTGTACCTTGTCTGAATCCTCCAGGTCTTTGTTGTAGAGCAGTGCGTGGTTTGTGCGGAAGACAATCCAGTCGAACAGAGCGCCGTACAGAGATTTGGCCATCGAGTCCCTCACCGTCCCGGCCTGCGCAAACACATACCTGTCAATCACCGCCATCACACGTGTGTGTGTGTGTGTGTGTGTGTGTCTCACATGCTCATCACACAAACACACTCACAGCCCGTCATTTGTGTGTTTGTGAGGGTTTTTGTGTATTTGTGAGTTTTTTTGAGTTTGTGTGTTTTGTGAGTTTTTATTTGTGTGTTTGTGTGAGTTTGTGTGAGTTTGTGTAAGTTTTTGTGTGAGCTTTTGTAAGTTTGAATGAGTTTGTGAGTTTGTGTGTGTTTTTGTGAGTTTGTGTGTGTTTGAGTCTTTATGTGTGTGTGTTTGTACCTTGTCTGAATCCTCCAGGTCTTTGTTGTAGAGCAGTGCGTGGTTTGTGCGGAAGACGATCCAGTCGAACAGAGCGCCGTACAGAGATTTGGCCATCGAGTCCCTCACCGTCCCGGCCTGCGCAAACACATACCTGTCAATCACCGCCATCACACGTGTGTGTGTGTGTGTGTGTGTGTGTCTCACATGCTCATCACACAAACACACTCACAGCCCGTCAATGTGACTAAATCAGGAAATACATAAACACCACAAACTAGATTTTTACATTTTGTGAGGAGAATGTGCGTGATGTTTCCGTGAATACACCAGCATCTACAAGCGTGAAGAACAGAAGAACAGACCAAACGTTCAATGAGAAATCACATCAAATTAAAGCAACACAAGCAGTGGACGTGTTTGCTGCTTCACAGACTGAAAGCACTGTGTGAAACTCAGATATCAGAGTGAGATTATTTAGGGGAAACTCTGGTCTCACACAGAAACGTCCCTGAATTTCCACGAACAAGTCACTTCCTTCGTCACACAAACCTGTAGCATGCCTTCACAGGAGTAATTGTGTGTGTGTGTGTGTGTGTGTGTGTGTGTGTGTGTATACGTATATACTGAAAGAAAAATGGATAGAAACCATTTTCATTCAGAAGCTGCTAGCAAATTCCACAAAGAAAGAAATGGCAAGAAACATTTAATTATACATCAAGGGCCAGATTTACTAAACAGGGCAAATTAGGATTAGAGCGCAATTCCATAAAAGCGCTGATGGGAGGGGAACATTTACTAACAATGCGCACTTTAAAGAACACAGATGCAGCCAGATCATTTCCATAATGACCAGCTCAATCTACCAAGAGCAGCACAAATTACCACCTGCTTTAAATAATGACGCAAATGCCAGTAATTTGACGAGCGCAAACGTTAGTAAATCACATTATGTGATTCATTTTAATACTCTCTTCCCATAAACGTTGCGTCTGAAAGGGAAACTCCTACAAATGCATATTCAATAAGGTCAGGCGCAAAAATAACTGTGTCCACGCCTAATTCTTCACTAAATCCTGACAGAACTATTTTAACGCCAAAAGACGGTTTGCGCTGCCGCAAGCTGTTACTAAATCTGGCCCCAAATTTTCAAGTAGAAAGTCATATTTATTGCAAATCGTACTCCACTACTATTACAAAATAAATAAATAAATAAATGTAGATTATATAAACCATTATAAACCTATATAATAAATAAATATACATAGTTAATATGCACATATATATTACTTTTCATAATTAAAAACCTATATAAACATAAATAAACCTGTATATTAATTAAAATACATAAAATATATGCGAGAAACTACTATATAAATACATATAATAAAAGCATGCATGTACACCTGTGTGTATATAAAACTATTACAGCATTATCAAAAATATATGTATTTTAATGTATATATTCATCACCGATAAAATAAAAAAATTCTGTGCATACATGCATATAATTAATACACACTTTTTATTGTATGCGAACATATTTTATTTAATTTATTAGATCTTTTATTTAATATACAGATTTATGCAGGATTTTAACTTTATATAATCTGTCTATATAATATATATAGCCACAATTACCACACTACATGTAAACCTAAACAAATAAAAAAATCTTATTTACATCTTAAAGTTTTAGTAATTAAATTATTTGTTTCAAAATAATCCTCAACAATCTTACGTATGTTTTAGGTTTTAATGTGGTTTGAAACTCTCTCTCTCTCTCTCTCTCTCTCTCTATATATATATATCCGTCTCTCTCTCTTTCTCTCTCTCTCTCAGCTGATTTAATGTTCGAGCAGCACACACAGATATCCTTCAGCGTGTGTAAAGCCTATAAAGCTGCAGCCGCTGCCAAGAACGCCACTTACTGAACCTGTACGAGCTAAAACACATAAAACTCTCCCCACTTAACACCCATCAAACTACTCTGACGTCCAGCCGCATGAGAAAGCAGACGTGCGTCGCCGGGCCTGATGGGAAGAGTGAAGCTGATTGGCTGCTGAGAGACTCAAGGACGTTCAGGCCAAACGTTGATGGATTTAAACACTGACTATACACTGTTCATAATAAACACATGTTCAGTTCTGCAGAAGATGCTCCTGCATTATTGATTCAGCTTTTATTTTTAGCTAAATTCTGGAGGAGGAAGAAACATTACATAAAACACCCCCTGCGTGATTCATTATTCACAACACTTTAACATTTAAAGAGTCGTGAGAGTCGTTCTGCTCACGTACTCAGAAACGGTGGAGGAGAATTTAAGTGTCATTCATCGTTAAGATCACGGAAAAACCTGCATCTGTGCGTGTGTCTGTGAGCTTGTGAAAGCTGAACATAACTCAAATAAAATCAATAAAATAAAATACAACTAAAATGAATAAAATACATGCCATTTTAAATTAAAAAAAAAAAATATTAGCTGAAAAATAATAAAATAATAAAAAATTGATAAATAAAAGAATAAAAATAACTTAAAAATACTTTAATAAAAATTTATAGAGTTATACAGCTGATAAATTTGTAAAATATTAATGAATAAAACCTATACATGCATTTAAAAAAACAAACAAACAAACAGTAAAAACACAAAAAAATCACTAAAACTTCAACTAAAATTAAAATGAAAACAAAAGATAAAAAATAGAAACTGATAGTGATAGTTGTAGCACTAAAATTAAAATTACTGAAATAAAAATGTATTATTAAAAATGTATAATTATTAAGGTAAATTGTGTGTGTGTGTGTGTGTGAGTGAGTCTGTGTGTGTGTGAGTGAGTCTGTGTCTGTGTGTGGGTGTGTGTGTGAGTGAGTGAGTGTGTGGGTGTGAGTGAGTGAGAGTCTGTGTGAGTGTCTGTGAGTGAGTGAGTGAGTGTGTGTGTGAGTGTGTGTGAGTGTGTGTGAGAGTGTGTGTGTGTGTGAGTGTGTGTGTGAGTGAGTGAGTGAGTGAGAGTGTGTGTGAGTGAGTGTGAGTGTGAGTGAGTGAGTGAGAGTCTGTGTGTGTGTGTGTGTGTGTGTGTGAGTGAGTGAGTGAGTGTCTGTGTGAGTGAGTGAGTGAGTGAGTGAGTGAGTGAGTGAGTGAGTGAGTGAGCGAGCGTGTGAGTGAGTGAGTGAGCGAGCGTGTGTGTGAGTGTCTGTGTCTGTGTGTGTGAGTGAGTGAGTGAGTGAGTGAGTGTCTGTGTCTGTGAGTGAGTGAGTGAGTGAGTGTGTGTGTGTGTGTGTGTGTGTGTGTGAGTGAGTGAGTGTGTGTGTGCGTGTGAGTGTCTGTGAGTGAGTGAGTGAGTGAGTGTGTCTGTGTCTGTGTCTGTGCCTGCGTGTGTGTGTGAGTGAGTGAGTGTGTGTGTGCGTGTGAGTGTCTGTGAGTGAGTGAGTGAGTGAGTGTGTCTGTGTCTGTGTCTGTGCCTGCGTGTGTGTGTGAGTGAGTGAGTGTGTGTGTGCGTGTGAGTGTCTGTGAGTGAGTGAGTGAGTGAGTGTGTCTGTGTCTGTGTCTGTGCCTGCGTGTGTGTGTGAGTGAGTGAGTGTGTGTGTGCGTGTGAGTGTCTGTGAGTGAGTGAGTGAGTGAGTGTGTCTGTGTCTGTGTCTGTGCCTGCGTGTGTGTGTGAGTGAGTGAGTGTGTGTGTGCGTGTGAGTGTCTGTGAGTGAGTGAGTGAGTGAGTGTGTCTGTGTCTGTGTCTGTGCCTGCGTGTGTGTGTGAGTGAGTGAGTGTGTGTGTGCGTGTGAGTGTCTGTGAGTGAGTGAGTGAGTGAGTGAGTGTCTGTGTCTGTGTCTGTGTCTGTGTGTGAGTGAGTGAGTGAGTGAGTGAGTGAGTGAGCGTCTGTGTCTGTGAGTGAGTGAGTGAGTGTGTCTGTGTCTGTGTCTGTGCCTGCGTCTGTGTGTGAGTGAGTGAGTGTGTGTGTGCGTGTGAGTGTCTGTGAGTGAGTGAGTGAGTGTGTGTGTGAGTGTGTGTGTGAGTGAGTGAGTGAGTGTGTGTGTGTGTGTGTGAGAGTGAGTGAGTGAGTGAGTGTGTGTGTGTGTGTGTGAGAGTGAGTGAGTGAGTGAGTGTGTGTGTGTGTGTGTGAGAGTGAGTGAGTGAGTGAGTGTGTGTGTGTGTGTGTGAGAGTGAGTGAGTGAGTGAGTGTGTGTGTGTGTGTGTGAGAGTGAGTGAGTGAGTGAGTGTGTGTGTGTGTGTGTGAGAGTGAGTGAGTGAGTGAGTGTGTGTGTGTGTGTGTGAGAGTGAGTGAGTGAGTGAGTGTGTGTGTGTGTGTGTGAGAGTGAGTGAGTGAGTGAGTGTGTGTGTGTGTGTGTGAGAGTGAGTGAGTGAGTGAGTGTGTGTGTGTGTGTGTGAGAGTGAGTGAGTGAGTGAGTGTGTGTGTGTGTGTGTGAGAGTGAGTGAGTGAGTGAGTGTGTGTGTGTGTGTGTGAGAGTGAGTGAGTGAGTGAGTGTGTGTGTGTGTGTGTGAGTGAGTGAGTCTGTGTGAGTGAGTGAGTGAGTGAGTGTGTGAGTGAGTGAGTCAGTGTGTGTGTGTGTGTGTGTGAGTGAGTGAGTGTGTGGTGTGTGTGAGTGAGTGAGTGTGTGTGTGTGAGTGAGTGTCTGTGAATGAGTGTGTGAGTGAGTGAGTGAGTGAGTGTGAGTGAGTGAGTGTGTGTGAGAGTGAGTGAGTGAGTGAGTGAGTGTCTGTGTGAGTAAGTGAGTGAGTGAGCGAGCGTGTGTGAGTGAGTGAGTGAGTGAGCGAGCGTGTGTGTGAGTGTCTGTGTCTGTGTGTGAGGGAGTGAGTGAGTGAGTGAGTGAGTGAGTGTGTGTGTGAGTGAGTGAGTGAGTGAGAGAGTGAGTGAGTGAGTGAGTGAGTGAGTGTGTGTGTGAGTGAGTGAGTGAGTGAGAGAGTGAGTGAGTGAGTGAGTGAGTGAGTGTGTGTGTGAGTGAGTGAGTGAGTGAGAGAGTGAGTGAGTGAGTGAGTGAGTGAGTGTGTGTGTGAGTGAGTGAGTGAGTGAGAGAGTGAGTGAGTGAGTGAGTGAGTGAGTGTGTGTGTGAGTGAGTGAGTGAGTGAGAGAGTGAGTGAGTGAGTGAGTGAGTGAGTGTGTGTGTGAGTGAGTGAGTGAGTGAGAGAGTGAGTGAGTGAGTGAGTGAGTGTCTGAGTGAGTGAGTGAGTGTGTGTGTTTTCTGAACCACTGGGGTTTCCGGATAAACCACTGAGTTTGTGTCATAATAAAACAAACACACCCACTCACACTCTCTGTGGAGGAAACGTTTAGCGTTTGACTTCAGGAGTGAAATTAGACCACAAGAGAAAGTGAGAAGAGATGGAGAGAGAGTTCAAGTGTGATTGTGCATGTAAAGCATGAAGAGATTCATCCACAACACATGAAACATAATTAATAAACTAATGAGAGACTTTGTGATTCATGCAGTGACACAAATCGAATGTTAAGGAAAATATTAATTAAATGTCTTACATATTCTTTTTATATTAATGTGGATATTTTCCATGGGCCCAGAATTGAAAAAAACCAAAAAACCAAAAAGAATATAGTGATTAAAAGTAAATTAAAAAAGTAATAAATACAATTAAATAACTAAAACAAACAAACAAACAAACTTTTCTCAGTTGTATAATATTCTGAAATGTTTTGTCTATTTATGTTTCCTGTAGCTCTATTGGTAGAAGATGGCGCTGTCTAAAATAAAAGTAAAAATAAAATAATTAATAACATAAATAAATAAAATATGTAAACAAATTAATTAACACAAACAAACAAATACAGTTTAAACTCTTTTCAGTTGTATAATATTCTGAAATGTTTGGTCTATTTTTTGTTTTCATTTTTTATTATGTTTCCTGAATCCGTATTGAGAGCATGCCACTATCTAAAATGAACAAGTAAATAACTAACTAACTAAATAAATTAATAAATCTGTCTATATATATAAATAAATAAAACACAAATAAATAAATAAATCTGTCTATTTATATTTCCTGTAGTTCTATTGGTAGAGCATGGCACGGTCTAAAACAAAAGGTAAACTTAATATAAATAAATGAATTAATTAATAACATAAATTAATTAATTCATTCATTCATTAAAATAGAAACAAATAAACAAATATGTGTATGTTAAACTCTTCTCAGATCTACAGTATAATGTTCTGAGATGTTATCTGATGTTTCCTGTAGCTCTATTGATAGATCATGACGCTAGCAACATCAAGGTCCCGCTTCGATTCTCAAAACACGTACAGATCAAATGCACTTTAACGATTTACACACAAGAGCATGGTAATGCATATGTGTTCAAGTACATGTAAAGGTCTGAAGGAGACATCAAGAGTAAACAGCTCACAGGAAAAACCCTTAAAAACCTGACACTTCAGACCACAAACCTCACAAAAACCACCACGACTTCAAACAAACGTCAAGATCTCACACATCAGCTTCATGAAAGATCTCGCAGGAGCTCTGAAGGAGTGTTTGAGGCCTGTAATAACCATCTCACCTCGGCCAGTTTGTACGGCACGATCAACCTCTCGCCCACCGTCACCGTCTTTCGTGTGGTCAGAGCCTCGAAAAGCATCTCCTCCTTCACCTGCACATCAAAAACACACAAACCATGAGAAATAAACACATTTAGCATTAAACCACCTCATTTAGGACGCTTCTGTGGAGAGTTTTGCAGCTTCAGTGACTCTGTAAAACGAATCTGTGTTTGGACAGAATGCGATTTTCAACAAACACTTTCCACTCGGAAATTTCAAGACAAACCCACCGTGTTTTAGCGTGCAAGTGTTTGCCCATAAAAGCCCCGAATGCATAGAAATGTTCATTTATATCACATAAACTCGTGTGTATTACTGCTGTTTGTGTGGTAGATTAACATTCAAAACACCAAAAGTCATCAGAAACGACTAAAACATTGTAAAAAGAAAACACAAACGAGGAATCTAAAGCTCATAAAGCAGAAAATCCTTCAGTCTTCAGGCCAAAGACTCGCTGCAGCCAGAGAAAATCAAACCTTTCGCAGTGTGTGATTAAACTGCAAGCAGCTGGACGATGGAGATGAAGCCCATAAAATAAATAAAATTAAATAAAATTAAATAAAATAAAATAAAATAAAATAAGGGAGAAATAGGTCATAAATAAAATAAAATAAAATTAAAAAATAAAATTAAAAAATAAAATTAAATAAAATAAAAAATTAAATTAAAATTAAATTAAAATTCCAAATAAATTCCAAATAAAATGAAATAATAAACATTAGATGGAAAACTTATTAAAAACGTAACAGAAAAATAGAAATTGATGCACTGATAAAGTACAATAAAAACTTTATCATAAATTAAAATAATAAAAATGGAAAATGATAGAGTGATACAGCTGATAAAACAAAATATATATATATATATATATATATATATATATATATAAAAACTACAAAAAAAATAAAATTACTAAAACTTGTATAACCTAAAATGAAAGTGGAAAATACAAAAATATACATTTATGAAGTGATACAAATTATAGTTGTAAAATAAAACTTAAAAACTATATACAACTACTTAAAAAAACTAAATCTACAAAACATGACAAACACACAAAAAAATTAAATTTAATTAAAATGAAAAAGCACATAAAATTACTAAAAACAAACTAAAATGAAAACTGAAACTAAAAAGCTACTTCAAATCATTAATACATTCTATAATAATATTATTTTTTATAAAATAGTATAAGTTGAGCTCAACCAGAAGTTTTATTGAAGCAGGAGGAAACTATTGGAGTGTCATAATGTCACACATTTCCATCATCAAATAATTATTCAGTCCTTAATGAAAGTGAAATGCCAATGAAACCAATGAGATTTCATAATGGGCGGAGCTACAGCACACACAAAAAAAATCAAAACCAAATGAACAGAATCACTGAAAAAAATAAAAATAAAAAAAAATAAAAATTTTTTTTTATTAAAATATAAAATAAAATATAATAAAGAAATAAAAAACAATAAAAGGAATTAAATTAAATGAACTCAAAATATAAAATAAAATATAAAAATAATGAATTAAATTAAATGAACTCAAAATATATATATATAAAAAAAAAGAAATAAACTCAATTAAATTTAGCTCGAGTCATCACTCCATGTAAGTAGTAGTAGTAGTAAGGTGGGTTGCACTTGTAGACTTGCACAGGTTTTGTGGTTTGCGCTCTCACCTCCAGCAGTTCAGAGATGATAGGAAGCACCTCTGGGTTGCAGATATCGATGGAGTCGTCTCTGTACGTCTTCTTCTTGTAACGGATATTTCCCAGGAGAAGAATCGCAGACAGTAAAGAAAAGATCCTGCGGAGAACAAAACATGAGTCAAATCTCACAATAAAGAAAACAAGCCAGAAAAACACATCCTCACAACCCCGCCCTCTAATGCCACGTCAGCCAATCAGATGTCAGAACACCTGGACACATGCCGTGACTGACAGGCAGAGAGTGTGTCCTGTGTCTCTTCAGAGCAGCTTAAGTGACCGCTGTGGTTTTTTCGTGACTTCTGTGGGGTTTTTAGGCTGTGACTCACTGTTTTCTGGTGGTCGGCAGGAAGCCCACCATCTCCATGGCCAGCTGGAGTCGCTCAAAGTCATGCTTCAGATCTTCCCCTTCCACCGTGAAACAGTCCTGAGCCGAACACAACACACGGAGCGTTAATGAAGGCACAAAACACACTCGAATCGCTCACATTTATCCTTTCCTTGGTGTTCAACAGAAGAAACTCATACAGAATGACATGAGTGCCAGCAGAAAGTATTATCTATTTTATTATTTTATTTTATAATATTGTTTATGATTATTAATAAAATGTTAATTATCATTAAATGATTGTTATAATATATCACACAGGTTTGCAATGGAATAAGGGCGAGTAAATGATGACAGGATTTGTTTTTGCATGAACTATTCCTGCAATAAAGTAGAAGTAACAGGGTTAATAGAGTTAACTAAAACCATTTAAAAAACATTATTGCTACTTGAAATAAAATAAAAATATATAATAAATATATTTATAACATAAAAAATATTTATAAATATATATTTAAATATTTATAAAAAATATTGTATTAATTATTATCAATTATTAACATCGTTTATGCTTATTATTAAAATTAGCATTTTTATTAAATAATTATATTATATTAAAATATATATTTAAAATAAACTATTTTAGATACTTACCAAAGCAATTTTCATTTAGTTTAACTTTAATTGAAATACAAATATATAAAAACTAAATAATCATTTAAAAAAAAACTACAATTTAAAAAATGAAAAATGACACATTTAAAAAAATATATTACTAACCATGTTAAAAACACACACACTAAAACTTTTAAAGAAAATTATACATTTAAAAATAAAAATATGAACAACACTATAATAGTATCTCTGTAATACTGGTAGGTGAGCAGTTTAATATAATGCAGTCACATAATAAGCAGAAGGATGTGCAGTAAATGAACCGTGACTCGTTGAAACACAAGCACAAAGCCGCAGCTCTTTGAGGACGGCCAGAAACAGAAGTGTGCAGAGGAAGTGAGGCGGCGAGAGACACACGACTTCCTGTTGACCCTAATAACAGCCGGATTTCAGTGTTTGGATCATCTCAAATAAAACGAGCGATTCCTGACCAGTTCACACTGTTACAACGTTTCAGAATCAAGCTGTGAATGCAAACCCAGTTTCTGCAACGTCTGATCCCTGATCTCACCAGCTCGGAGAACTAAACGTCTCTGGATGGCACTGAGGATTCATAAAACAAGCAAAACAAGCACAACTGTGCTGAGAGAGAGCAAACTAAAAGAATCAGTAAGGTTCAGCTGGATTCTAAAAAATTATTTAAAATATTGAAATATTACAAATAAAAAATAAATAAATAAAATAAATGAAATTAAAAACAAAATAATATAATATAAAATAATGCAAAAATCAAAATGAAATGTAAAATTAAAAATTAAATAATAATAATAATTGAAATGTTAAAAATTAATTAGAAAATTAAACAAATGATAAACAAAATAAAAGTAAATGAAATAACAAAATAAAACAAAACAAAACAAAATCAATGAAAAAGATAAAAGATCAAATAAAACACAAACCTAAACTAAAGAATAAATTTAATTTAATTAAATTTTAAATTAAAATAAATTTAATTTAATTCAAATAAATAAAAAATTTAATTAAATTAAAATAAATTAAAAATTAAATTAAATTAAAATAAATTAAAAATTAAATTAAATTAAAAATTAAAATAAATTAAATTAAATTAAATAAAAAATTAAAATAAATTAAAAATTAAATTAAATTAAATTAAATTAAATTAAATAAATTCAAACAGATAAATATACGAAACACCTTAAAGGAAAATAAAACAGTTAATCCTAAATTTTACCAAACCGATGGCTTACAGTAGAGTAAAACGAGCAGAAGTGCGGATGATTTTTATGGACTGATTGACTGAAGCGCTCCTCTCACACAGCAGTTCTGCTCCAAACCCGTCTGCTTCTGTGCTGACTACATAGGCAACCTCATAAGTGAGTGACTCTACAGTTTTCAGAGCAATACTTTAAGTCTTTCGTTAAATGTAGTATATTAATAATCAACATTTCCCTCACTTCATCACCTGGGATGGCTTTGTGTTGCGATGTATTATGGGATTGTGCTCTCTGTGAAATATAGATGCAGTACTACTTATGATTTAGTCTTATCTTTTTAGTATTTTCGATCTACTATTACATTTTTTGCTAATATTTTGAATCAGATTGAATTCAATATCAGATATTTTGAATTGGTTCCTGTGTTTGTTTTTGTACTTACATTTTTTTTAGTGAGTTAAAGTAAATGAAAATTAGAAATGTTGCCTTGGAAATGAGCTGAAGTAAAATATGTTAAAAATATGTTTTTATTTTATTTTTAAATATTTCTTAAATTTGTAACTTTTTTCCCCTGATAATACAGTATGTCACTGATATACCATTATAGTTGTTGTCAATATTTTGAATTAAATTTTTTCTGTTTTCACTTTAATTTGACTTAAACCTTTAGTAATTTTACTGTGTTTCTGTAATTATCATTAGTTTTTTTTAAATATGTCTACACATTATTTATTCATATTTATTTTAATAATATTGAAGTTTTAGTAATAATATTAAGTTTCAGTAACTATTTTAGTTTTAGTTATTTTAGTACTTCAACTTAAACGAAACAAGAAATGTTGCCTTTGCAACAAGTTGAAATAAAATATATCTTATTTCAGTTAACATTTAATTTAATTCAAATAAAGAAAAAGTTTGTGATTTTAATATGACAATATTATAATAATGACTATTATTATTATTGTTAATATTATTATTATTATTACTATAAACTATAATAACCCTATTTTGGGCCAAAAGTAGTCTTGAAATGCTGTCTAGGTAGGCAGCGCACTAGGTTTTGGAGCGGAGCCGTTGATTTGAGTGACTGACTGAGTCTTCAACATCCACGAGTGAATCAAGACGTCTCAAATCGAGTCAAACCCTCCGTCTCCATCAAGCGCTTGATTAAATGCTGCTAATTAGATTTGATGGTTTACTCAGAACAGCAGCGGCTGGAGACACACAACAGCAGAAGAGACGTGAAGAAAGCAAACGGGAGAAGCTCTACGTGAACACACACACACACACACACACACACACACACACACATACACAGATACTGACCAGCTCGGTCTCACAGTAATTTCCCCAGTGCTGTCTGTGGACTTTCTTTGTTATCTGGAAGGCAGACAGACAGTTAAGAGCTGCAGACATGCTCATCTGTCTCTCTCTCTCACACACACACACACATACACACTCTCACACTCTCACACTCTCACACTCACTCACACAGACACAGACACACACACACACACATATACACACACACACTCACTCACTCACTCACTCACTCACTCATGGTAGACACACAGTCAGTGACACACACAGGGCTGTAAACACTCACTCTCACAGAGATGACATTACATTACATTTACTACGATGAATATGATCAGGATTCATTCAGTTCAGTGGAATTAGATTGAATATGTAATGAAGTGTCATTTATTGTAAAGAAAGACACTTCCAGGGTTGGGGAGTAACGGAATACTTGTAACGGCGTTATGTAATCAGGATACAAACATCTAGTAACTGTAATCCGTTACAGTTGCATCAAAAAACAAAGTATTCAGATTACGGTTACATTTAGTAAAAAGTGGGAATACTATCAGGATTACATTTGTTTAATTTAAAATTAAATAAATTAGTATTTTGACATAACACTATAGGCTATATTTAGAGAATGCTTCATCATAGTTCCTGGTAGAGCCCTGCACGGGTCTCAAATATAGGCCCCAGCCCGGCCCGTGTCCGACAGCTCATCAGAATTACCGGCCCGAGCCCGTCTTTTCCCCCCTTCTCCCAAAACAGCTTATACTACCGTTTCAGCTATTAAAATTGTTCAGTTTTGTATGTAATGGCAAAGTGATTATATTTCGTTACGTTTTTTTATTAAGTTAATTTAGAAAAACGTTTGGAGCATTTTTTGGTCGTTAAATATAAGTTTTTGTTTTTTAAAGTAACGACCAAGAGGCCAGCGGCAGACAGTGAGCTGATCATAGCCTATGTTTGATCAATTTAGCCTTCTCAAATCATCACGACTTGCCTAAAATAAAATCTATAGATATAAAACAGTTCAAGCATATAACAATGTTTAAACATTAAACCTAGATAAATGTGCACTGTATCCAATAGTTTGTGCGGAGAGTGCAAGCTAAAGCGCGCTTTGCAGGATATGGAGGCGCCAGCGCAATCACTTTAAAAATTATTTTGCTCATAAAGGTAAGAGTAATACATAATTCGTAACTGTAAAGGGTCTACTTTTATTTGTGTGCACTCATAATATCAACAAAACGTTGAGCTTTTATAAAATAAAGAAAATAAACATGTGCTTTCTGCCGTCTTGGTCTTGAACAGGAGCGCTTCACAAAAATGAACCGAAACTCAGCGAATACATGCCTCACAGACATGATAAATATATTTATATAAAGCTTTAAATTACTACTTAACGAAATAAAACAAATAGAAAACAAAAACTCTTTCATTATAATCATAATCCGTAAAGATGCACTTGTCTCTAAAGGCGCGACTAATGAAGAGATAGCAAGTCAGGATCGACAACTTCATCCTTGCGACACCGACTCAGAAAACACTAGTTTATTAGTAAATAATTAAAATATCTCCTTACTATTTCCCCCTGACACATTCATGGTAATTACTTTTGCTGGTGCTTTGCGGCAAACTTAAGCCTATTGCATTTGAACGCAGAACTCTTTGCGCTGCAATTTTTTTTATCATCACTAATTGATGGATGTCTAAAATATAAAAATAAGGAGAAGCCTAAAACAGGCCCGAGGCCCGGTCCGCGTCTGAACTATGGCGTGAAAATTGGCCTGAAGCCCGGCCCTATGGGCGTAAAAAAGCCGGGGCCCGTTGGGCCCGGGCTGAAATGCAGGGCTCTAGTTCCTGGTTCTGTTGACACATGTTGACTCGCATGAGCCGCCTGCTGGTGCGTGCGCAAATAACACCTGCCTACAATTGTTCTCCTCAAACGCGGGATGAATTAATTACGATGCTTCATGCTGGGAAAAACGTTTTCATGTCTGAAAATTTCACAGTTATTTTGTTTTCAAAGAGGATAAAGGAATTAACACAGTTGTACAGCGTAAGCTATGCATGAAGACTTTAAGTTAATTTAGAAAAACGTTTGGAGCATTTTTTGTTCATTTAATATAAGTTTTTGTTTTTTAAAGTAACGACCAAGAGGCCAGCGGCAGACAGTGAGCTGATCATAGCCTATGTTTGATCAATTTAGCCTTCTCAAATCATCACGACTTGCCTAAAATAAAATCTATAGATATAAAACAGTTCAAGCATATAACAATGTTTAAACATTAAACCTAGATAAATGTGCACTGTATCCAATAGTTTGTGCGGAGAGTGCAAGCTAAAGCGCGCTTTGCAGGATATGGAGGCGCCAGCGCAATCACTTTAAAAATTATTTTGCTCATAAAGGTAAGAGTAATACATAATTCGTAACTGTAAAGGGTCTACTTTTATTTGTGTGCACTCATAATATCAACAAAACGTTGAGCTTTTATAAAATAAAGAAAATAAACATGTGCTTTCTGCCGTCTTGGTCTTGAACAGGAGCGCTTCACAAAAATGAACCGAAACTCAGCGAATACATGCCTCACAGACATGATAAATATATTTATATAAAGCTTTAAATTACTACTTAACGAAATAAAACAAATAGAAAACAAAAAACTCTTTCATTATAATCATAATCCGTAAAGATGCACTTGTCTCTAAAGGCGCGACTAATGAAGAGATAGCAAGTCAGGATCGACAACTTCATCCTTGCGACACCGACTCAGAAAACACTAGTTTATTAGTAAATAATTCAAATATCTCCTTACTATTTCCCCCTGACACATTCATGGTAATTACTTTTGCTGGTGCTTTGCGGCAAACTTAAGCCTATTGCATTTGAACGCAGAACTCTTTGCGCTGCAATTTTTTTTATCATCACTAATTGATGGATGTCTAAAATATAAAAATAAGGAGAAGCCTAAAACAGGCCCGAGGCCCGGTCCGCGTCTGAACTATGGCGTGAAAATTGGCCCGAAGCCCGGCCCTATGGGCGTAAAAAAGCCGGGCTGAAATGCAGGGCTCTAGTTCCTGGTTCTGTTGACACATGTTGACTCGCATGAGCCGCCTGCTGGTGCGTGCGCAAATAACACCTGCCTACAATTGTTCTCCTCAAACGCGGGATGAATTAATTACGATGCTTCATGCTGGGAAAAACGTTTTCATGTCTGAAAATTTCACAGTTATTTTGTTTTCAAAGAGGATAAAGGAATTAACACAGTTGTACAGCGTAAGCTATGCATGAAGACTCTTGCTTTAACAAAGGCTACTCAACCAACTTGAACATTTGCAGGTATGAGACCGACTAGCATGGAAAACATCATGTTAGCTAAAATTTAGTGTTTGTTAGTGCTTTAAAATTCCATGGTGTGCATGACTGCAGTTGTAAGTTTTCTAGCGGAAAATGAGCCTGAAACTGTAGAAATTAACTTGAGAGTCCCCACACCCCGGATCAGTCAATGAAATAAAGAAAGATAGCATTTCACATGCATTTCAACATGTAGGCTTATTTTAAAATAGACTAATGTATATGGTGTCATTTTTTTAATGTTGTGTATAAACTATATTTAAATTAGATTGAATATGTAATGAAGTGTCATTTATTGTAAAGAAAGACACTTCCAGGGTTGGGGAGTAACGGAATACTTGTAACGGCGTTATGTAATCAGGATACAAACATCTAGTAACTGTAATCCGTTACAGTTGCATCAAAAAACAAAGTATTCAGATTACGGTTACATTTAGTAAAAAGTGGGAATACTATCAGGATTACATTTGTTTAATTTAAAATTAAATAAATTAGTATTTTGACATAACACTATAGGCTATATTTAGAGAATGCTTCATCATAGTTCCTGGTAGAGCCCTGCACGGGTCTCAAATATAGGCCCCAGCCCGGCCCGTGTCCGACAGCTCATCAGAATTACCGGCCCGAGCCCGTCTTTTCCCCCCTTCTCCCAAAACAGCTTATACTACCGTTTCAGCTATTAAAATTGTTCAGTTTTGTATGTAATGGCAAAGTGATTATATTTCGTTACGTTTTTTTATTAAGTTAATTTAGAAAAACGTTTGGAGCATTTTTTTGTTCGTTACAAGTTTTTGTTTTTTAAAGTAACGACCAAGCGGCCAGCGGCAGACAGTGAGCTGATCATAGCCTATGTTTGATCAATTTAGCCTTCTCAAATCATCACGACTTGCCTAAAATAAAATCTATAGATATAAAACAGTTCAAGCATATAACAATGTTTAAACATTAAACCTAGATAAATGTGCACTGTATCCAATAGTTTGTGCGGAGAGTGCAAGCTAAAGCGCGCTTTGCAGGATATGGAGGCGCCAGCGCAATCACTTTAAAAATTATTTTGCTCATAAAGGTAAGAGTAATACATAATTCGTAACTGTAAAGGGTCTACTTTTATTTGTGTGCACTCATAATATCAACAAAACGTTGAGCTTTTATAAAATAAAGAAAATAAACATGTGCTTTCTGCCGTCTTGGTCTTGAACAGGAGCGCTTCACAAAAATGAACCGAAACTCAGCGAATACATGCCTCACAGACATGATAAATATATTTATATAAAGCTTTAAATTACTACTTAACGAAATAAAACAAATAGAAAACAAAAAACTCTTTCATTATAATCATAATCCGTAAAGATGCACTTGTCTCTAAAGGCGCGACTAATGAAGAGATAGCAAGTCAGGATCGACAACTTCATCCTTGCGACACCGACTCAGAAAACACTAGTTTATTAGTAAATAATTAAAATATCTCCTTACTATTTCCCCCTGACACATTCATGGTAATTACTTTTGCTGGTGCTTTGTGGCAAACTTAAGCCTATTGCATTTGAACGCAGAACTCTTTGCGCTGCAATTTTTTTTATCATCACTAATTGATGGATGTCTAAAATATGGAGAAGCCGAGAAGCCTAAAACAGGCCCGAGGCCCGGTCCGCGTCTGAACTATGGCGTGAAAATTGGCCCGAAGCCCGGGCGTAAAAAATAACACCTGCCTACAATTGTTCTCCTCAAACGCGGGATGAATTAATTACGATGCTTCATGCTGGGAAAAACGTTTTCATGTCTGAAAATTTCACAGTTATTTTGTTTTCAAAGAGGATAAAGGAATTAACACAGTTGTACAGCGTAAGCTATGCATGAAGACTCTTGCTTTAACAAAGGCTACTCAACCAACTTGAACATTTGCAGGTATGAGACCGACTAGCATGGAAAACATCATGTTAGCTAAAATTTAGTGTTTGTTAGTGCTTTAAAATTCCATGGTGTGCATGACTGCAGTTGTAAGTTTTCTAGCGGAAAATGAGCCTGAAACTGTAGAAATTAACTTGAGAGTCCCCACACCCCGGATCAGTCAATGAAATAAAGAAAGATAGCATTTCACATGCATTTCGACATGTAGGCTTATTTTAAAATAGACTAATGTATATGGTGTCATTTTTTTAATGTTGTGTATAAACTATATTTATTTTTACTTGTACATGTTAAAGAAATAAAAAAAGTAATAATAAAAATAAAACTGTAATACTAAACTGTATAGCCACTAGATGTCTGCATATAAATATACGGGCTGATGGTGAAAGAAGACACGATTTTGAATAGTTTCCAATAGTTTTTACTATAGTTTTCATTTTAAAGTCATAGTTAAATAAAAGTACTTAGATATTGCTTTTTTGACTTATTTACATATGTAACTTGAAGTAATCCAAAAGTAATCCGATTACATTACTTTTATATTGTGGTACATGGATTACGTTACTGAATACTTTTTTAATGAAGTAATTTGTAACTGTAACGGAATACATTTTAAAAGTAACCCTCCCAACCCTGGACACTTCACAAGCAACTAAGAAATAAATAGTTTGTTAGGTGATTAAATGCTAAAACAGACCTACAGTAGAGGATGATCACAAACAGTATTGTGAGACTTTGTGTTTGCAAACAAAGAAATTTAAAGGAATATAATTCAATCAACAGTCGTGTTTTCTTTCTTATATTTCACACACACACACACACACACACACACACACACACACACACACACACACACACACACATATATATAATAACATTTATTTATACAAATGTATTTATTTATATAAATACTGCGATTTTACAAAAGCACTAAGCCACATTCCGATTTTATTTAGATTTATTGTTCAGCCCTTACATTAGAGCATCAAGGGAAACGCAGGCTGTTCCAAAAGGAAGGTATCATCTTATAAGATGATAATATTCAGTATTAAATTCATTCACTCCTAAAAAGTATCAATAAAAGTAGTTTAATCCATTTTAAATTGACTAAATGTGACCCTGGAGCATAAAAGCAGTGTTAAGTCGCTGGGGGATATTTGTAGCAATAGCCAACAATACATTGTATGGGTCAAAATTATTGATTTTTCTTTTATGCCAAAAATCATTAGGAAATTAAGTATTAATTAATGTTCCATGAAGATATTTTGTAAATTTCCTACTGTAAATATATCAAAACTTAATGTTTGATTAGTAATATGCATTGCTAAGAACTTCATTCGGACAACTTTAAAGATGATTTTCTCAATATTTAGATTTTTTTGCACCCTCAGATTCCAGATTTTCAAATAGTTGTATCTCAGCCAAATATTGTCCTATCATAACAAACCATACATCAATGGAAAGCTTATTCATCAGATTTGAGATTATATATAAATCTCAATTTCAAAAAATTAACCCTTATGCCTGGTTTTGTGCTCCCGGCTCACAAATAATTGACTAATGAGTATATAACTGACATAAGTGACTATAAAGCAATCATTTAGGATGCTGCGTTCACAGGTAGGGCCTTATGTTGACAGCAAACAGGACAGCTGACTAAACAGAAAAAGCACATCTCACCCTCTCACAGTCCCGCTCTCCTGATAGTTGACTTGAATAAACTTGCCAAAGCGGCTGGAATTATTGTTATGGGCCGTTTTGGCATTTCCAAAAGCCTGAGGAGGAAAAACAAAGAAACATAAACATTAGCACTATAGTTAATCATAACTTCAGACCAGAATGTGACGAAGGACTAACAGACACTTTTAGTCACACATCTCTGGTTCCTTAACCCTCTGCTATTGTTCATTTGGGAGTCACACTTGTGTTGTTCATGGTTAAAACTGACCAGAGGCCATAATCGTGCAATAATTGAGTGTATATATACACCCCAGTTGATTGATTACATTAAGAAATGCAAATGTACTAATTTGTTTCTGAAATGTTGTTTAAATACATAAATGAGGCATAATCTATTTAAATATGCAGTAATTCGCACACATTTCCAGAACATATATCTGAACGTTGGGTAAAGCCAGGCTCAAAATATTTGTTTGATTTTGTTGACATTTTAGAGTTAAAGGTTTTTACTGAGGGAAATTTGGATTTCTCTTTTTGCTACCCCGAAAATTAGAAAATACTGTCAAGAGACAGAAAAAATTAAGTTTTACCTTTTTTTTAACGAACAAAATGTTGTATAAAATCAGGTGAATAATATATGAACAAACCACTCTATAAAACCCTTCAGAATATAGACAAGAACAAAACTATAAAATTTGGTGTATGTCAGTGCTGCCGAAGTGGAGAAACAAACTCATTTAGATAAAATGGCCTTTAAAGATATGCATTGTAATTGAAATCAACAGACGCAAATAAAGTGCAATGAAACAAAAAAAATCAAGCAAATTATATATGAACAAATCCCTCTATAAAAACCTTCAGAATATAGACAAGAACAAAACTGTAAAATTTGGTGTATGTAAGTGCTGCTGAAGTGGAGAAACAAACTCATTTAGATAAAATGGCCTTTAAAGATATACATTGTAATTGAAATCAACAGACGCAAATAAAGTGCAATGAAACAAAAAAATCAAGCGAATGATATATGAACAAACCTCTCAGTAAAAACCTGCATAATATAAAAAGAAATAAAACTATAAAATTTGGTGCATGTAAGTGCTGCTGAAATGGAGAAACAAACTCATTTTGAGAAAATGGTCTGTAAAGATATGCACTCAAATTGAAATCTACAGACGCAAATATATTAAGTGCAATACAAGAAACACTTAAAAGTGTATTTTGGATCTTTTCTCTACACTAGTCTGAAAAAACACTTTATGAAAGCCCAAAATCTCAAAATTAACCAGCGCATGAAAACACAACGTCTCGCCTGAAAGTCTCAGACACGTTTAGAAGAGTAATTCCTTCTGCACCATTCACACTGACCCGACGAGACCCATTTCAATTAAAACTTTATGATGTGGAACCACGAGTCCCTGCCACTGCTTTCACTGCAGCTCATGCAGAAACACACGCCGACCAGAGAATCCTTCGCTTAATTTTCTCCACAGGGCTCCTTCATCCGCTCAGAGTCATGTGGAACCAAAAGGGGTTTTATATGTGGAGGTGGTGCATCGGCATTTCATTTAATGACTTCATAACAATAGCTGAACAACAGTTAGAAATAACAAATAAAGAAATGTAAACATATTACCAGAAACACTGACCAAATTAAATGAAATACAAATTTACATTGTACAGTACTAAATAAAAGCCTTTTGCACACGTCATTGGAAGCAAGCTGCTTCATATGATCCTTTAAATATCATTAAAATATATTTAAATAGTTAAAATACATATTTAAATGTGTCAAAAACATTGTAAAATATATTTAAATTAAAGAAGTATTTTACAAATATTTAATGTATACATTATATTAGTTGAACAACAGTTAGAAGTATTTATGATCTTTAAATAAAAGTAAAAAAAAATGTCTATAAACATTTACTTTAAGCATGTGAAATATGAATTTACATTTTTAATAAAACTTTTTTTTTATAAAAATCTCTCTGGATGAAATGTTCCATTTGGAAGCTGAATTCAAAAACTGCCTTATTTATGGCATCATATGCCCCTTGAAATATTGAAAATATTATTATTTATATTATTAAATCTTATTTTAAAAAGAATAAATATCTATATATCTATATCTATATATATATATATATATATATATATATGTAAAATATTTAAAATACATTTAAATTAAAAAACTAATTTAAAAAATGTAAAATAATTTTAAATTTACTGTACATTATATTAGCTGAACAACAGTTAGAAGTATAAATAAAAGTTTATTATAGCAAGTTTGAAAAAAATTATAAACATGCATATTTTCAACATGTGAAATCAAATGTACATTTACAGTTGGAAGCTGAATTTTAAAGCCGTATTTATGACATTGTATGTGCATATTATATAATTGTATAATATGTAAAAGAATTAAAAATACTTAAAAATATTAGCTAAACAATTGTTAGAAGTAAAAATGCATAACTGTATAGTGTACCATGATTTTTAGATAAAAGTAAAAAATTTAAACTTCAATATGACTTGGTTTAAAAAAATATTATGTTAATATAAACATGCAGACATATTTCTTTAAACATTTACTACATCAAATTAAATGTAACATGACTTTACATTGGACTAAATAAAAGACTCACTGGATGAAAGTCCCATTTGAAAGCTGAAAGCTGCCCCTCAAAATATTTAAAATATAATTAAAAATATTATAAATTTTAATACATATTTAAATACATGTTAAAAAAAAATGTAAACATTAATTTAATTAATATCACAATTTTTACAAATATTTAAATTGACATTATGTAGGTGAACAATAAGAAGAAACAGCTAATAAAATAAGATGAAACGTCCCGTTTGGAAGCTCCTCTGCGGGACGGGCCAAACGCAGGGAGCTCAAGCTTTAAACAAACACAGCCTGCACCACATGAAGTGGAGGGCCGAATATGTGAGACAGTTGATTAATGACAAGAAACGTGTGAACATGATGAAGTGAACAGAAACAGGGCTGAACACTGGAGAACCTCCCAGAGCTCAGGAGCTCCGCTGGGAGGCGTCAGGAGATCACCCGGATAACAGCCTGCGATTCAGTGCTCGACTGGGACAGTAGCCCAAGGAAAAACACACTTTACTGTATTATTTATGGACAATGGTACAGCACGGTATACTTTGAAGTACCTTAGAATACCATTTAGATTGCATGAAAACATGAGACCTACAGTTTCCTAATTTATGTGTTAAAAAATATGAATGCATATTTAAAAGGTATTTAAATAAAGTTTTTGATATGCATTTGAATTTTTTTTTATATTTATCATTTATACAAAAAAAAATATAAAATACCACTAAATTAACTAAAAGCTTAAACAATATACACTAAATATTTAAATGAAAAATAAAATTATATTTTAAATACAGTTTTAAAACTGCTAAATTATATTATCATTACATTATAATTAAAAAATATATATAATTACATAAGTATATAAGCTGTTTAATAGTAGTTGAATAGTTGAATAATTGTAAACAGACTTGGTCTGACAATAAAGTATCATAACATACACACACACACGCATATGTACATATATATATATATATATAAAATCAGATTGTGCGTGTCTAATGTGCTGGAATGATTCTCCGTCTCGTCTCTCGTGTGGTTTGACAGTTTATTCCCTCTGTATTGCTCCATAATTGAGTTTCTCTGCGGTTTCTGTCAAGACAGGCTGCGTATCTTCAGCAGGGACCCCGGGGCCGTTTCCACACTGTCACTTTGTGTTAACCAACACAAGACAAGCACAGCCTCACACCCTCGCTGCTGGTTAAACGAGGACCGCCGGTGACAGCGAGAGGACAGACACTGACGGGTTAATTACACTAAAGGGTCACCACGTTTGTCTCGAGGCACCTCTGTAATTCTATCAAACTAACACAGTCTCACAAACACACTCAGCCTAGCGTTTCAAGTTTAGTCAAACTAAAACGTTCTAAACGCTCTTCTTATTATATTTTAAAATTAATTCAATAATAGTTTATGTATATATATTTATACATATTCAAAATATCATAAAAATATAAAACATAAACAATTAAAATATGTAGTTTAAAATATAGTTATTTTAAAAACATTTCAAATATCTATTTTAAAAATAAATACTTTCTAAATAAAATATTTAAATAATATTTACAAAATAAACATTTAGAAATAACTTAAAAACATTTGAATAATATTTAATAATATACATTAAAAATATTCAAAATATGACTTCGATTGTCAAACACACATAAAGCCAAGAATATCATATTCAGTCAAATTTAAATGCTCCTAATCTTACTAGTCTTTTATTTTAAAATTAATTTATAATTTATATATGCATTTTTTTTAAACATTTAAAATATCATGTAAATATATAAAAAAAAAAATATATATATATATATATAAATTATGTAAAAAATATTGTAATAAAATATTTAAATAATTTTTTAAATATCTCAAATATAATAGTTGTAAAATAAATAATTTAAATAATATTTTACAAATATTTAAATATTTACAATTATACAAAATATACAATTTACACATTAAAATATTCAAAATATCACTTTTCGTCTTTCCTTCTGTAATCCACAAACACACACTAACACCGTCTCACAAACACACACTGAAAGCCAAGCATATCACGCTCCGTTAAACTAAAACAGTCTTTCATTTTTTCAGCAATGCTATAGAGATGTTTATTCTGTCATTTGTAATACTCAAACACTTTGTATCCCGAGGCAGTGCAACTAAAGCTAATCACATTAGCTGCCTAATTAAACAATAATAACGCAGTACTGAAGATCCTGTAGAGAGGTTCCCAGCCCGCGCCTGCGGACACATACAGCAGAGGATCGGTGTCGCTCTAAAAGCCCTCACAGATCAGTCAGCTGCAGACCTTCAGGAAGATCCGGGATCAGACGACCGTCACAAGACAGGCCTCAGATCAGCGCAAGACACGTGTACAAAACATAACGTAGAAAAACAAACAAAAAAAAAGTAAATCTAACGCAAATCCAATGTTTTAAATGTGTGCTTTTAGATTCGGACGTG